TAATATGTACCTGGGCTACTGACTACTGACCTCGCACCCCAGGCAACCGCTATGGGATCCCCATCTGAGATCTTGGGGTGGGGGGAACCGGGGATGACAATGGGCACACTGCTCCTTGCTGCACAGGGGAGCTCGGACAGCTTGCTTTAGCAATGCACGCATCGGGGTGAGGATTGGAGACTCCTTCAATGGACACCACTAACTCTAGCTGAACGCAGTATTGCAATGATTGGCCCAGAGGGTCCCCTTGCTCTGATAAGTACCGTATTCTATGATATGTGTGGGTTCTACCTAGTATGTGAAAGCTCATAGCACAATGTGACGAGGGGAGAGGACGAAGGGGGGAACGAGGACATTCAGTATTGCGTTTGGGGGGGTGGGGAGAGGAGTGATGGACAGGCGAGAGGAGGGACGGAGGAAGGGGGGAGACGGGGAGGAAAGGGGGACGGTAATGAAGAAGAGGGAGAGAGGGAAGAGGATGAAGAGGGGGAAAGGAGAGGGGAAGTGAGGAAGAGGGGGAGAGGAGGAAAGAGAGGTGAAAGGGAGAAGAGAGAGCATAACCCCAAAACTTATAAACAAAGATGAAAATAAAAAAGGGGAGGGAAAAGAAAAGGGAAAAAGAGAAGAAAAAACTTCAATGAGTCAGCAGGGGTTGGGAGGAGGGATATCGACCTGTTCACGGAAGACTCTTAGCCCAGGCCCACGGGGCCTATCCTAAGTGCCTATGCCCTACCTGACTACGACATCCACACAGGGGGGCGCTGGGGAAGGGGGGATGGCGGTAATACACTCATTTGGTCTGGCTAATCAGATCGTCCCCGGCACCGCACACCCACGGGTTTCTGGGAGCTGATTGAGGGGACGGGGGGGACGCGGCTGGTGCCTGCGCGCTGTCCCGGGATGTTGGAATGGGGTAGATGCAGAGCAGGAAGACACACGGGGAGGCTGGCGGGAACTGTATTATTACTGGATGATACGCTTGTTATAATTGTTATATTTGTTCATGCATTAACCCCTCTGTTGAAGTTAAGTTGCCTCCTTATTGGCTCGACCTAATCACTCAGATCTTTGTGCACCTGGGCATGGACTCGGATGGAGCCGGTCAGACCAGACTATATCTTACTCACTCACAATATACCTATCCTGGTATAGACACCAACCACTGACTTACATACTAGCTTGCGCGTAACTCCTGGTGGAGCCACAGGCGCACCCACACGGCGATCAGGTTATCGCGTGTGACGCCTGGCCACTCCTACTGGGGCGCAAGTATCTCTCCTTTTGAAGGAGGCTCCGGGGCGCTCCCACCCTTTGACCCCGCAGGGTACATACCCGAAGGGGGGCCCGACTTGCCCACCCTTATTTTAACTGTTCTTTTTTTTCTTTTTTGACTTTGGACTTTTTCAATCACCTTATTCGCTTGCTATACAGACGTACACACACACACTCACTGGTACTCACTCTACCCTTTCCCCACCACCACATTTCACACACAGGCCTGGTTCGGACACCAGCAGGCAACTACCCGAACCGCCCATACGGAGACAATAGCTGACGAGACGCTCGGGTCCCTACCCATACGGAGCCGCGTACGAGACACGCGAACAGACACTAGCCGCATTAAGACATACATCATCGCTGGGCTGCACCGCCGTTCCGGGGCTGGGCGCCGTGCGGTCACATCTCTGGTGGATTTGCGCTGTCTCGGGTGGGCGAGACCATGGCGTACCGCCGCGCCCACATGTCCGTCATGACACTCAACTGCAGGGGATTAAATATTCCGGAACGACGTACACACCTCCTGAGGGTGTTGCGTCAGAAACGCACGTCCATAGCGTTGCTGCAGGAAACTCACTTCAAGGAAGGTGCGGCCCCCAAGCTTCGCAACGCCTATTACCCCCTAAACTTCTACAACAATCAAACGCTGGCTCGCCAAGCGGGAGTGGCTATCTTGATAGCGGCAGACCTAGGTTTCCGGGAACTGGACAGAATGGCCGATGACCAGGGACGCTTCCTCTTCCTTAAGGGAGTAATAGCCGACAGAGTGTACACTCTTGCATCCATATATGTGCCTAACTCCAGGCAAGCTCCATTCCTCAGGGGCACGCTACGTAAGCTGCAGGGATTCTCGGAGGGAGCATTGATCGTGGGGGGTGACCTTAATGTCCCTCTGGAACCGCTTATAGACTCATCCACTGGACACTGCTGCCTCCCACAGTCCCATATCAGATCCATACGCAAATCCTTGGGGGAGCTTACACTGGTTGACTGTTGGAGGACAATGCATCCTGCCGATAAAGACTACACCCACTACTCTGCCATACATGACCGCTACTCCCGGATCGATTACATCCTGATTAAACAAGAAGGATTATCTCGACTACGAAAAACATCTATGGAACCGGCCACGTGGTCAGATCACGGATCGGTCCAGATAGAGCTGGAATCCCAGCTCTTCAAACCGGCGATTCGGACGTGGCGCCTGAACGAATTACTGCTCCAGGATCCCACGGTAAGAAACGAGATCTCCCAAGCGCTGGAACGCTACTTTGAAGAGAATGGGTCGGGGGATATGTCTCCGGTGACTGTGTGGGAGGCCCACAAAAGTGTCATACGCGGCTCTCTTATCGGCATTGCAACCCGCAAGAGGAGGGAGGCCACACGCAATATGACCGAACTTTATGGCACCATATCGCGCCTGGAACTCCAGCACAAACGCTCTCAGATGGTCACGATCTATAGAGATCTCATGGAAGCCAGGCGAAACTTGAAAGCCCTCCTCACACAAAGGTACCTCCGCTCGATGCAAACATCGAAATCCTTTTTCTACACCCACGCGAACAAAGGAGGAAAGTTTCTTGCTCGCCTCCTGAGAGGAGAAATGGCTCGCACTCAGGTGAGGAAACTCTGTCTGACATCCGGCAAGGTCTCTCAGCACCCGGAGGATATAGCCGGGGAATTCCGGGCATATTATAATTCTCTATATAACCTACATTCCCAGGATAGCCCAATTCACAGAAGGGACTCATCGCAACATACTCAGACATACCTACAGGAACACGTAAGGAGAAGGATATCCCCTGAGGCAGCATCCACGTTAGATGACCCAATTACCGCGGAGGAACTTGCGGCAGCCCTAAAAGCCACAAAAACAGGTAAGGCTCCGGGCCCGGATGGGTTCTCCACGGGCTACTACAAAAAGTTTACTGATATCTTACTACCATGGCTGACACAAGCTGTAAATAAAGTGGCAGAGGGGGGAACCTTTGGCGCGGAATCCTTGTCAGCAACAATAACGGTCTTACTCAAACCCGGGAAGGACCCAGAACAGTGCGGCAGCTACCGCCCGATCTCCTTACTAAATGTGGACACAAAGCTCTTCACAAAAGCTCTGGCTTCCAGACTTCAACGGGTCCTACCGAGCCTTGTCCACGTGGATCAGACAGGTTTCATCCTGGGCCGGGAAGCGCGGGACAGCACGCTGCGCCTGTTTTCTATACAACATCACGCCCGGAAATATCAAAAGCGCCTTCTGCTGTTGTCTACGGACGCGGAGAAGGCTTTCGATAGGGTCAATTGGGCATACATGACCCAGGCCCTCCGGCATATGGGTTTGGGACAGGGGATCTTGACGTGGATCTCTGCCCTATATAGCTCACCGAGAGCGGCAGTGCGTGTGAATGGAGCCCTGACTACGAGCTTTGGAATCACAAACGGGACTAGACAGGGCTGCCCCCTCTCGCCACTCCTCTTCGCCCTCTCTCTGGAGCCCTTCCTACAGGCGATCCGGGATCACCCGGATATCCAAGGCTATTCATGGCGAGACACGGAGCATAAGGTGGCCGCATACGCGGACGATCTATTGTTCTTTGTCTCCTAACCACGGCTCACACTGCCCTGCCTGCTGTCAGAATTCGACAAATTTGGCCAGATATCGGGATTCAAGCTCAACCTGGCGAAATGTGAGACTCTGAATATTAACATACCCACAACGGAATACGAGGCTCTAAGTTCACTCTTCCCATTTCGTTGGTGCACGGGAGCAATGAAATACCTCGGTATCTGGATCCCCACGGACCCGGGGGAAACCTATTGGCGTTACTTCGCGCCTCTTCTCCAGAAAATTGAACTGGACCTTAAAAGTTGGGCTTATCCGCACATCACATGGCATGGCAGAGTGGCAGTCCTTAAAATGAACGTTCTCCCGAGGGTCCTCTACCTATTTCAGACGATCCCGATCGCACTACCGGCGACGTTCTTCTCGATCCTAAAAACGGCGGTTATTAAATACGTATGGCGAGGGGAGAAGTCCAGGTTGCGCCACGACCTCTTATGCCAGCCCAGACACAGGGGGGGCCTTGCGCTCCCGGATTTTAAAAAATACCACCAAGCTGCAACGCTACAGCGCATCCTGGAATGGCACGAAACAGACACGATCAAGCAATGGGTAACGCTGGATCAAGAGGGGAACGCTGCAAAACTAAAAGCCGCGACATGGAGGAGAAGGGCGACTAGGAGTGGTAGAGGGCACAGCGAGGATCCGGTATCGCAGACCCTACTCACATGGGAGACTCTCAGGGAGGAGCCGCGGATATCCCCGACCCCCTGCCCCCTACTGCCGATAACACACAACCCCGATATAGGGGGCGGCCTGCCGGCGGAAGCCTGGTCATTCCTAGGGGATGCGGAATACATCCCGATTCACAAGGTCACTCGGGACGGGACCCTAGACACCCTGGACACGTTACTAGGAGATCGACCGCGGTCCCCGATGACGGTTCTTCGCTATATGCAACTAAAACACTTCCACGACTCGCTCCCCCACAAGGAGAGGTTACAGAGAGATCTCACATGGTTCGAGGACCTCTGTACTCATGGCAGACCACTTGGAAAGGCTATCTCGAACCTATACCAATACCTGCTGACTGATTCCACCTCGGAGAATAATATGTTTCAGCGACGCTGGGAGGAGGCAATGACCAAAACATTCTCACCAACGCAATGGGACAAAGCCTTGATATGGCAGCACAAAAGCTCCTCTAGTTCACACTACCAGGAGGTGAACTATAAACTGCTCTCTATGTGGTATAGGACCCCGGTACTACTTCATAGAATTTTCCCCACTACCCCACCAACCTGTTGGAGATGCATGGATGATAGGGGCACGCTTTTACACATCTGGTGGGAATGCAGACTCATCATCCCATATTGGGACCAGATCGAATCTGACGTCCGACTGATCCTCGGCAATGACGTTGAGTGGTCGGTCGAACTAGCCTTATTACATATCTCCTCGCAACCACTGCCAGACTACAAAAAATCTATTATGCGACATCTGTTGAATGCAGCCAAATCGCTCATACCGTTGTATTGGAAGAAGACAGATGTACCCACCCGGGAGCAATGGATACACAAAGTAGAAGATATCAGGGCGGCTGAGGCGGTCCAGGCAGGACTGATGGATAGGATGACGAAGTACACTGACATGTGGGCGCCGTGGTTTGCCTTCCGCGCGGGATAATGGGAGGGGTGTCGGTTCGGGGTCTGGGCGCCTGGGGGGGCGGTGTGGCCCCTGCGATATAACCATACTACATACTGGGATTCTGGACCCCTCTAAGACACTGACGGGCACAATCATCACGCTCCCACACCATTCACATAACCCTGATCAGGAAGGGAACCACATCCCTAGATACTTAGAGACGGCAGGCGGATACAACACTACACAAGGGGAGCTCAACCACTGTCCCCAAAACAAGCTGACCCTCTCCGACTTAAGGACGCTACAACCAGGTGACCTCAGTGATGGAGGCAGACGCTACACAGTCACAAAAAACAAGGGACATGACCCCCAATATAACAGGGCTCGCTCGGGCCCGCTCTGGCCCACACTATGCTCTCTTTGCCCTTGACTCCAGGACCTGAACCAGGCCTACGCACCATTAGCATGCAAGCTCTGACCCCTGGGGCCGAGCCACGACACAACACATCATGACATCCTCTCACACTCATCAAAGACGGCAGACGCTTCTGTAAATCTGTAGAAAAGCAAATTTGGGGGAACCATGCATTTAGAGTTTCCCATGAGGACTTCACCGTAGAAAGCCTGGATGGGCTACATACGGACATCTAACAGGGCGTGACATCACCGCCCTTCTCCTGAAGACCACGGTCCCTACTGACACATAACACTGACCGCAACCTGACCCCGACAAAGTAACTAATTATTCCTGCTTACGGTCTTTACAGGGATGTATACTATTCATACGATGTGATCATACACCCAGGTTCCATAACGAGCCCACGAAACCAAGACATGTCATCCCCATACTTTGGTGCTTTGTACTACATACACACATCACTTTCATGTGTAACTCTCTTCCACTGGATACTACTGTGACATCACGCACCCGGATGCGTTTATACAGTAAACAAGAAAATAACAGACCCCCCCCCCCATATGTGGGTACACTAACCTGTGAACACCACATACAACACACTGTTCACACAATCCTAGCCTTAGACAACAAGGCACTGCCATCACACAACTCTCACGTGCCGTAACACCGCCACTCCATCCAGAGAACGAAAACGCACCTGAAATTTACGAATGGTTATAAGTGACAAGTTGTAACCATAAACTGTTATTGAACACTGTTTTCCTTATTGAATGCTATACCTGTAGGAATCTCTACGATCTTTACACTGCACTCAAACCCTATTATTGCGGGCCTGCGTGCCCAACAGTACTGTTTTCACTGATACTCAATAAAACTTGATTAACAAAAAAAAAAAAAAGATATGGACTCCATATTTATGAGTTTGATTTTTAACAATTCGGACTAATTTCAGTGAATAAATAGTATAATAATTTGTCTATTTACCAAGCACTAAATTACCCCTGAATTGAATTCAAACACCAATTCCTGAATTGCAGTTTTCCACCGCCACAAAACTGAGGGAGGGAAACATCAGCAGCGCTCTCTACCTCACACAGTCCACCTATGGTAGATAAAGGAGGCCAACAAAATTAGTTGAGTACCCACTAAATGCTCCAGGGCTGCACCAGCCCAGCGTCACTTTTTGCTGAGGGCAGGAATGTGAGAGCCACAATTAGTGGCTTTCAAACAGATTTCCTGGATGCCGAGCAGCACAGTTAGTATATTTGTTGTGCAATCATGGCTCTCACACCTGTGGCTGACATTTCGCACCAATGTATTAGAAGCAGGTGCTGATATGTGACATCATATTATAATAATTATTGCTAAAAATTCCAGTCATAAAGCACTGTGGAAAATGTCTGTACTGTATCAAAGATCGTAATAAATGATAATATCTAGACACCTGCAGCTTGTTCTATGTAGCGCAGAGGGAAGGAACAAAGGTAGTGCACAGCTCTACGGACCCCTAACTTTACACAAAAGGGATCAGGAGCCCTCTTTATCCACCTCCTCCGGCATCAGGAGGATAGGGAGGGAGATTAAAATGTTACGTGTTTGTGTGTATGTGTATTCATTTGTGTCTGGGTCTTTGTGAGTGTGTATACATGTTGGTATGCATGGATCTCTGTGTCGGCATTTATAGTTAGTTACTGGTGGTGTGGCAAGGTATGTGTGAGAATAGCTAGTTACTTAGTCATTTGGCTAGTTACATATATTTGAATGCTAATTCACCATGGGCCAAATATGTCTGAATTCTGACTGCAATGGCAGTGCTCAGATTAACTAAAGCCAAATTGGGTCAGAACCTAACCAAATCTGCAATAAAAGTTTGGATGCATTTAGGGTCTGTATAGGGTTCAGATGCAAAAAAGCCACTGATTTTAATCACATGAATTCAGAATATGAATGAAGCACATGCTTATGTTCTCATTTTAAAGTACTATGGGCAGTGGTTGGTGACATACCATAGTCCATGCCACCAAATTTTAACCAGTGTCCCCAAGGCCCCAGCAATCCCCCATTAAAGGGGTGGCATTAAAACAAATGCCAGTTTAAAAAAAATGTAATTTTATATACACACACTTTCCTAACAGCCCAGTCGCTAGTTTATATGTTTTGTACAAATGCCCCCACCTACCACATGGCAGATGGGTCTATGCACAAGGTCTACAACTTACCTTATACAAATATGGAAATCATATTTACCCCCACATTTTTAAATGTGGCAACTGGCTAACATGTTTACAGCACTGAATGGTTTTGCCACATTTAGAGTTTAGTGAATAACCCTATATATGTATGTCAGAAATGTGTGATTTCCCAGTTGTGTATTTTTGTGTGAATGAAGAGGGTCCAAACATATGTTACTAAGGGACCAGCATATGGCAAGGGTGGCCCTGCAATGAACCCTGATATTAAACTACATTAAGGCCAGTGCTATGAGGAATAAAAATAATAATAATAATTAGTACTTGCTGGATAAGGGTATTATTTCATGTAACAAATATCTCCTGAACAACTAAATAATGAAGAACTCCAGGCATACTTCCTAACAACCCACTTAGACAAAAATCAGTTGAGGTCAGTGGTCAGAACACTTTTAGAACCAGAAGGAAGCCTATGGAATCTGGATAGGATATCGAGAAACAGAGACAGAATGGGATGATCAAAATAACATCAAGAAATAAATTAGGGAATCTGAGAATAAGGTCTTCCTTCTCCACAAATGACATTTCAACCTTCCCTCAACTCCTAGTGCACACCTGCACCAGTAATAACATCTGGGGCACCAAAGATTGTATCTGGAAATAGTTGGAATAACTGGAGGTCTCTCCCATACAAGTTTTATGGCAGAATTCCACCAATACTTACTTCATCTGCAAGCTATGAATCAGAGAATTCCACATATTATCTGGTTACCTAAAAGATCCTACACGCAAGGTAAAACATCAGTACCAGTAGAGATAGAAAACCTCGACATGTATTACCAAGCCTTAGAATGGTTGGGCTTAACACTAAGAATCTCTGAAGGTTAAGGAGTCCTAGACAGAACAAGTACTTCAGTGTGACTAGAAGTCACAGTAATGAATAATAAACCAGGTCAGGATACGAGTGGCCAACAAATCTAGAGCTAGTCAAGGTCAACATCAGAATCAGATACTACTGAACTATGAAAGGGCATGGAACAATAACCATAACCTTTATACAAGTAATCAGGTTTTATCAATCCAGTGTTGCCAGAACTTACATGTATGTCAATGGGTGCACATTGGCTTCTTCGTACTGCAAATATGGTGCAAGTGTCCAGTCTGGGCATTGGCAGTGTTAGAAGCCCAGAAATGAATACAAGTGATATAGTTAAAGGACCACTATGGTGCCAGGAAAACATACTTGTTTTCCTGGCACTATAGTGCCCTGAGGGTGCCCCCACCCTCAGGGTCCCCCTTCCGCCGGGCTGGATGGAGAAGAAGGGCTTAAACTTACCTCTTTTTCCAGCGCAAGGCGGGGAGCTGTCCTCCTCCTCTCCTCCCTCTTCTCCTCCTCTTCGGCTGAATGCACATGTGCGGCAGGAGCTGCGCGCGCATTCATCCAGTCCACAGGAAAGCATTCTCAATGCTTTCCTATGGACGCTGGCATCTTCTCACTGTGATTTTCACAGTGAGAAACGCGGAAGCCCTCTAGCGGCTGTCAAGAGACAGCCACTAGAGGCTGGATTAACCCTAACGTAAACATAGCAGTTTCTCTGAAACTGCTATCTTTATAGAAAAAAGGGTTAAACCTAGCTGGACCTGGCACACAGACCACTTCATTAAGCTGAAGTGGTCTGGGTGCCTATAGTGGTCCTTTAATTTGTTCAGAAAAATCATCATCACTGTTAAAGTGAATACCATTTGTGCAAGAATAGAGAGGGGTCCCTGAAGATCTGGCAGGCAATGTTACACATGTGGCCACAACGTGACATGTAAACCTACATGGAGGTGAATGTGTTTAAATCTTGCTAAAATGATATAAGGTATCTGAACTGCCTGCAATAATTTAATAATGCAAGTGTTTTTAAAAGAGTTTGGTAGTATAAGATAACCAATTATGATGCAATACTGTGATCATAGACCAATTATTACATGAACTAGGGGGGACTTTACAATATGTTCATTACTTTATCAGAATGAATGGTGGGGGGCAAAAAAACCTTTAAAACCATCTCTTTAAAACTTTCCAGAGATAGGGCAAGAAAGAGCAACCAATAAATAGATAAGGGAAGAGATACAGATAAAAAGATGGATGGATAAAGCTAGTTTGAGCAAGTCCCTAGCTAGCCTTCTGTTAACATTGATAACTTCTAAGAATAACAAAAAGGTTGACAGATACAAAGATGGAGAAAAAAAATACCAAAAGATGGAAAACTATGCTAAAGAATTTAGCAGACAGACCATTCATGATTTGGATTAGGTCCTGGTTGCTAAAACCATGGATTCTGAAGCCAAGCCATGGACTCGTACTACAATGTGCCCTTATGTCACTGGAACGCTGGCATGCTGGAAACTAAATAATCATTTTGACAGACTCTGGACAGAACAAAAAAAAAAACCATGCTAACCACAGCGCTACATGCATATTCACTGTGTGTGTCGGTATATAAAAATATTAATGTTATCCTATCCTCAGATTACAAGCTAAAAGTGCAGTGTAAGCAGAATGAGGCAATTCCTGCAGGGTTATTTCATAGAGTAGGTAAAAAAAAAAGGAAAAGTCATACTACTGTTGTGCTATGTTTGTCTGTTATGCATCAAGGAAGAAGAAAAACACTTTTGGGTCCAGGGTTCTGATTTTCCTTTTTAAATGTATATCTTTCTAAAATATATAAAATTATTAAATGTGTAGGATTTGTTATCTCTGTTAATGTATTTTTTATGGGTTACATGGAGTATTTATATTCTTATATTAATATATTTTTTATTAGTAAAACGCTTTATATACTTTCCAGATTTTAACGGGCTAAAAAGTGAGCCGAGCATGTGATGGCATATG